TAAATGAATGAAGAAGATGAACTGTTCGCTGAATTCTGTACATTCAACGAACCAGTGATAGGGGGCAGCGTATACAAGCACAAGGAGATATATAAGGTTACATGAGTGTCACTAGGTGGGAGAACCAAAAACCAAATTGACTTCATCTCAAACTCAAAGAAGTAGAGACGCTGTGAAAAGTTGAAAGAAACTTTGACTGCACTTCACCAGATAAATTAGGAGAATCACGAGAATTCTCAGTAGCATAAGTGTTCGAACTCCTGAGAAGAGAGTTCATGTGGCCAGTTTTACCACATTTATCGCATTTAGCACCTCAAAAACGGGAAGTGCATCATAGATGAATCTTTCTACGTGAAATACACGGTTTGATATTTTCGCTCTCTGCCTCGATTCAGTCCCATGTGGATGAGAGTCTGGATTCCGTCCTGCGAACATTTGCACTATCAAATTTGGACAGCATGATATCAGACACCAACTCAGTGGGAGCTGGCTATTCACTGTTGACATCTTCATATGCAATATGTGCGTCGGTGACACAGTGGTTAGGACTCTCGCCGACCATGCACATGGTCCGAGGTTGGATACCCTGCCGACCCACACCTGATATCTATGATCGGCCTGCAAAATTTGGGCTACCGATATCCATGCTGAAAATTCCATACTTGTACTTAAATTACAGTGTGGAATCAAGCTGTAATCAAAATTTTAAAAATTAAATTAAAAATCATTAGCAGTTTGAAAGATGCAGGAGGGAATCTGAATCAGCTCTTTCTCTCGTTTCGGAATACAGACACCGGCAATTAACCAATCAGGTAGTTAAAAATGGAGCTGATCCCCGAAATTGCGCTTCGAAGCTTGCATCTGGAGCTGGAGGGTAAAGTTTCGAATCTCTTGGTTAGGAGCATGAACAAGTTTGTTGAACTGAGCCCTCACTCGTGTTTCAAAAGTAATTATATGGAAGTGATCTATTAGAAGTCCATGGAATTAATCATATGACAGAGAAATTGGTTAATCTGGAAATGAGAGTTTTCAGTGGACTGTATGCATCTAGCCTAATCGCAGAAATAAAATGAACATCCTTCGACATACACCATGCGTCAAAGCACTCAAGATAACCGACAGTCTGTCGCGCCTAACCGTCGATAGGTATCTTTCCAAGATTATTTTATCCCATAGCGACCTCAAATTGTACTATTTAATTGTAGTAGTTCGCAGTGACCGATTCACGGGAAACCAAAAAACAACACAGAGTGTAAAATTTAGAAATCTGTATTTGGCAGAATCAATTGTAATTCACGTAATCAATATTAACAAACAACAGGAAGCACTTAAACAATAAAGTAAGAGAAATTAGAATCACCACAATGCTTTCTTTGTCTCTTTGAATACAAGCGGCTGGCTAGCTGTGTTCTAAAGTCTAGAATAGAATTCATATCAGATATATGATCAGGTTAATTTAATTTAATCAATTGCACACTTTTGCTCCCTGATCAAATTATGAGCAATAAACTGTGCCAGAAATATCATCAGTAAATATCACTGTACAAAACTCTGTGAGTTTACGAAAATATATTTTGTCAATAATGGAATTATACTGTACCAAAGTGCTAAACATTTATCCTTTTAACAGTACACACATTTGCATTGATATGGACAAGTACCTGGAGTCTGCAACAGAAAGATTGCCCACAACTATTATTTAAAAGGATTCGTCGTAAAATATATATAAATCTGGGGTACAGTCTGAAATGCAGTGTGCTGCTCGACGCTTCGTTTTCTCACTGGTCCATACTGTCTACATGCCTCACTACCAACTGTGTTGTATACTTTGAATTTTGTGTGAGCCTCTCATCCGCTACAACATCTTCATATGCAGTACATGAATTCTTAGCAGTTTGAAATCTGCAGGAGGAAATCTGAACCAACTCTTTCTCTAACTTCGGAATATTGATTCCAGCTATTAGACGATCATGTGGTTGAGTATGGAGCTGATCTCAAAAGTTGCACATTGAAATTTGTATCTGAAGCTGAAGAATAAAGTGTCAAGTCTTCTGGTTGGGAGCAGGAACACGTTTGTTGAACTGAGCCCTCTATCATGTTACGAGAGTTGTTATGTGGAAGTGATGTGTTGGAAGTTCACGAGGTCAATCCTATAACAGAGAAATTGGTTTACCTGGAAATGACAGGGATTTCACTGGTCTGTACGAATTTAGCCCCATAGCAGTTATAAATGAGCGGAAATTTTGTCATCGTGAACATTCTTCGAAATGCACCATGCGTCGAAGGATTCGAGAGAATCGGTGATTTTCGGCGGTGAATCATTCGTGGGAAAATTTCAAAGATGATTTAATTAAATGGCAATGTAAAAACGTTGTAATTAATTGCAATAGTAGTGAGTCGAAATAAAAATATAGGAAATATTTGAACAATACAATAATAGAAACAGACAAGGTCTACAAAATGTTCAGTAAAGCATTACTTTACACATTCCCAGCGTCTTATCTTTACCTGGTGGCGTGGGTTCCACTGATATTACCAGCTGATGATGAGTATAAATCAAGCTGTTTCTTCCATTTACTTGTATGATGCACACTTGTTAAACTAGTGGGTTTGTTTCAGTAAGAAAGAAGGCTTCATATTTGTGAATAGACGTTCTCACCTCAGATTAATCAAGTGAATTAGGATTACCAACTCACAAACAATCTCAGTGTGTGTGTGTGTATGTGTATATATATTGATGGTAAAGTTAGCTAGACTCGGTTTGTTAAATAGTAGTAGGTCAACTTGACTAAAATCAATGCTTGTGGTTATTTTTCAGGTCAATTCTCCGTCACACTACATGCAATGGAAAACTGACAATTCACTGACTGGTTAACTACCACGAATTTTCTCACTCTAATGACAATAATTTGTATACTCATATTCAACATTATATATTATGAGAGCGACACACTCCACTGTTCACCCACCATCTGCTACGACAATCACTCCCATCTGGCTAGGAAGCACTACTGCTTGATGTGAGTTCTATACAACTACTCGGCTCTATTCAATCACTCAGTAGTGTGTAGGCACTTGCATTTACGCTTGCGTTTTATTTATTCAATAGTTGTGCTATCGAGGCGATGACATGTGGTTTACACTCAATAATCTCGGTTTCCCAAGGAAGAAACAGTGGTGGAATTTCACCTCGAACTGTGGAAATCGCAAATTGAGAAGTAGTTGGCGAATTACAAATGTGACTCGACTCGACTCCTAAACACAGCCACAAAGTCAACCAATATTTAGATTTATGCTGCAGAAAAGTGTAATATGCATGCTAGATTTTGTCACCACACACATTTTCAGTGCTTATGATGAACATACCTGTCGTGTTTCTGAGAACACAGGTACTCATTCATGCAATATTATGTGTGGGTGGATTGTTGGAGGCAGTCTACAAGAAGACGTGCTTTCAATACACATTGTACCGACCATGACGATTATGCAATTGTTGTGAGAGCTGTCTGCTAGCGAAAACCGTTATACAGCAATTTACGTCAATGTCTACGTCACAAATCTTTCTCGTGAGTGAAACAAGAACAAAGACTAGCTCAGAAACTAATCATCACAGAAGACTATGCGTGGGGTGGATACGATTCGCAGATATATGGTCTGATAAAGAAAGAAACCACCACACAGAGATGACAGAATATATTTCAGGGAGAAGACAGCCAATCAAAAGACGCTGTTTCTCTACTAAAAGTAACATATTATAATGTACATAAAAATCTATAAACACCTGTTGATTTTCTCAATAAACGATCTATTGCCTGGTCCTTCTCTTCCGTCGTTACACAATGAGCTCCGATTCACCGATATCTCGCCGTCAATTTCAGCTCACTACACCGACTGATATTTTGAAGGAGTGTATGTTGAAGTCGGAGTATTTGTTACTGTCATTGGTGAGATGAGAAGGCTAGCGCTGTCGAAGTTACCACTGACAGGAGAATGGATACGCTCGCTCATCAACTTACTTTTTCTCCACATGCACACAAATTTCGATTTCACCACTAATTTTTAAATGATACTTTCTTTGTCATGTTTGCCTACACAGCGTTTTATTTGTGAAATGAATCTCAAATGTAGGATGCAGTTAGAAGCAGATATGTGAACCAACTGTTTTTATTTGAGTCTAACTCTATGCACTACCCCTAGTGATCTCCTGCGATAGATGTATGTCTAATTTGGTTTACCTCTTATTATGTTCGGTGGGAAAGCACCCTGTCTTCTTCGAAGTTACCACACGCAGGCGAATTAACCTGTTTAATCATCAAGTTACACTGGTATATTTCACTATTAGACGGCAAATACATCATCACTGGACCGTGAGGACATTTCAAGTTCACTTCGTGAATTCCGGAAATCCTACTCTCTTTAAATCTTGTTAATTAGCATTAGTGTAAGGTTCCTGCATGTCACTCAGATGGAAATTTATCCTCAAAGTAATATTTATTTTCAGCTATATAAAATACATCGAACTCATACTGATTATCACCCGCCCCTTGAAGACAGTCATCTCGCATATAGGAATAGACATTTTTAAACATATTTGTTGCCATTTCATGACAATCTGAAATCTGACTGTTTGGTAGTGACTTTTACACATAGTTGTACATTTAGTACTTTGATTAGTCAATGTTTTCATCAGTCATTTGTCACACATATCACCATCGAACAACTTTTTACTTCCCTATGAAAATATGAAATCTTTATACGAAACCCGTCAACTAGACAAAATAATGCGGCTGTAACACTCAAAAGAACACAACATTTTATGAATAAAAACGTTATTTATCAAACAGTTTTAACACTATTCAACTTGAGGCGTCAATTCAGTACAAGGTTTTGCATTCTACACAGAGAAGAGTGAAATAACAATCATACAACTGACACAAATAGCACAACTTCATCAATAATCCACAGTCAGATAAACATTAGTAGAAAGGCTCCTCAGCACATCACTTGCACCAATTGACCACTTTCCTTTCGTAGACAAATTGGTTAATCGGCTCTTTAACTCCAATCGGTAGTGTGGACAAGTAAAACGGCGTATCAGCCCCTAAAATAACCAGAAACATTTTTTAGGTGTTTATGCTACACCAACATTAAATTATCACACAATTTAGTAGCAGAGCAGTCTATTAGAATAACAGTCGGTGAGATCTGTCTTGGATAAAACAGTACTTAAAAAAGCACATGTACAATTCAGTGGAAAATAGGAATGAGGTGAAACTTTGCTGAAGTAAAACGTAGAGTCTGAATGGGGAGAGGCTAGACACAGTGAACAGTGGACCCATGTGAGGTGTGTAACTGCAGTCTACTAACTACCTGCCTTCACCGCTGAAACAGACAAACTCCTCATTCCTCAACGAAATTAATGTTCATGACGTTTACTGAAGATGACATACTGTTTCTCAGCCAATAGTGTTCGAATAAGTGAAAGATGCCGGATAAGTCCCCAACTCTGGTTCACTTTGTATGCAAGTATACTTAACTTCCAATACCTACAAGTTCTGACCTACTTAGCTTCGTGCGAGACGACATATTAATAAATCATTGTTTTGGGAACTTACAAGACCCAAGCTCAACTCGAACTCCCAACGATCAAATAATTGCACATGACGGCGAACAATACCCATTTGAGTAGTTGTACGTCTTCATATCTAAATTGCAGTGAAATCTGTGGTATCTCTTGTCTGTATTTCATTTACAAATAGCCATTTGATCTAGTAAATTCGGACAGACTGTTATCGTGATAAATTACTAAGTTACTCATTTCATTTCAAGAATTTCTCATTACATTTTCGCATGTGACTAGCAGTAAAATTTCGCGTTGAGCACTTTGTTTAACCTACTAAATGTTTACACGAGTATGCATATCACCAGGTCCATATTTACTGATAAATAAGTAAACAAATAAGAATTCTCAGATATTCAACCTCTGCATCCTATGTAACAGAAGTCACTTGAGTGTTACGCACACTACTGGGAGAATAAGTCATTTACATACTTCGCTATTTGATATTTTTTCAATAAAAACCTAACAACAGAACTGGTTTCGTGAGTGTGGAACTCAAGAAACATTCCTTCTCAAATAACTGGATTGACGCATAGTTGGTTATTGACTCAGTCGAAACTATAGTCAGAAACACAAATTTCCTAGATAAAATACAAGGTCAAAATCAACTCGACAACTGCTGCATATTGTGGTCAGTGTATTAGTTGACTAAGTCCGATCCCTGAATGCTCGGACGAAACACATACTGAGTGAGTCTATAACGTCTCAGTACACAGTAACCAATGAAGCAGTTACGGCAAATAAGCCAAACTCGATGCGGGAATCTGTAGTCAAACCAGTCCGAAAGAGGCTAACTAGAATTCCTACACTGGTGACCACCAATGACTTTGAACACTAACAACAAACGCCTCCTCATTGGGTGTCAGTGCAGTTCTCGAACAGAATTATAGCCCCAGCATTTACACCTCAAGAAAATCTTGAGAAAAGTTAGTTCGTCTGAGCAGTAACTGTCACTGTTTTTTCACTTTGGATTTTCATGGCTATATGAGTTTTCACAACTACAGATAAAGTAATTATAACACATTTGATATTTTTCCTGTCAGCTTCTGTGGGTCGTTTCAATTTGAAACGGAACATAGTGGTGCGAATTCATTTGACCACAAAGCAAACATTCCACTGAGATACTATGCCTCCAGATAAATATTAATTATAAAGACTAACTTTTGTTATTGATAAGCAACACGTTCCAGAAAGTGAATTGTTACACACAGACTTACCCTCATCAGTTGTTTTCACTCCTTTGTGACTAGTCATATCGGTATCAACATAACCAGGGCAGCACTGTCAAATTCACAAAACAAAAAGGAATAAAGTAAAGAATTTCCAGTGTGTGGAAATATAGAAAAAATAACACAGTACAGAGGTCTAGCTACTTCCTAGTAACCTTAGGATGAGCACAATAAGAACACAGTAACATATTACAAAGCCCAGCACAAACTACCACTCCGAATATCGGATACATTTCGGATTTACTGTAGTGATTGACTATTTCTATTACTGTACTGTTTAAATGTCTGTTGGTGTTTGTTTCGCTTTACAGTAAAAACATAAATATCAATTTCGGATTCCGGTCCTAATCGTATTGTTCTCAGACTGACTGGTATTCGGCCATTGAAGATTACAGTTACAAAGTATTGCATTTACACATACGGGCACAAATTAACATCTAATCCAAACTAGAAAGAGTAACGCATAAACTGTATCACAAAAGTGAAAACAAAGTCATGAGTCTCTACAATTCTGCAGATATGTACCACGAATTGCACAAAAAAACTCAGAATTTTGTGGAAGCAGCTGTAAAACAGGCACCGACAATGAGTCAAAGTGGTAAGGTTTCAGTCATCTTTTTGTGCTTACTACACTTCCCACACCACTGTTCTAGTTAATATTTACTATTCTACTCTCACAAAAGACACACTGAACAGTATCCAACTAAAATCTACCTCAAGGGCCATGTGCCCCCTTAGTTTCCACATATGATTGAGATTAAAGACAGTGACTATCATATTTCAGACAGCTGACGTGAGGAAATAAGACGGATGCATGAATTAACTTTCTCCACTACATAGTCGTTTTGCCTAACTTTCGAATGAATTATTTATGCATTACAAATCCTATTGTGGCAGCGAATATTTTGCGTCCTTATTACTCATATGTTGCATCAAACCTATCAGTTAACGTATACAGTACAAATGTTGAAAAATAAAACTTCCGTTTATATTAAATTAAATGTACATAATTATTAATTAAAAGCACCTGTTACGCAAACTACAACGTCAGGAATTACTGGTCGAGTTCAACTCTGCACGTAGTTCACTGATGAATCATTTCGTGTTACTCTAGAGCCACTCAATGATGATACAACTACCAATAAAACCAAACACATTCTGGATCACAAAGGCGAGCAACTAATTTACATGCATAGAAGCATTCACATATGTATAACAGTGGTACAATAACTTTCAACCAATATTATGTTTTCACAAGACAAAAGTTATTCACTGCAGCGTACTACAGCTACTAACTACCAATCATGTATTATTTCAATACAAAGCATCAATTTCATAAACATGAAATTAATTTCAAGTAAATGCGAAAATGACAAAATATTAGGAGGTAAACTAACTGAATTCATCACAATTTTTCTGGGATCTTCTTTCAACATCTCTCCGAAAATGAAAGAAGCTTTCGTGAGGCCCATCTTATAAACATTATAGGGAGCAGCAGGCCAACCTTTCGCAACGTGAATTCCGTCCTCAGCACACCTAGTAACCAGCAAAACATGAACGACATTAGAAGAGGAATAACCTGCACAAAATTTATGCAAACAATAACAAGTAATATTAGAAAATGAAGATTTGGGACACATTAAGTTATATAAAACCGGATGAGTACCAAACAGTGTCTTACAATGGCTGTGTTAATTCTTTTCCTACCTGTTCATTCTCAATCTTTCCTTTGTTAAACATTATACTACTTGCCATTAGTAAGTAGTATGATTTTATATGTTAATTTATAACAATGACATTTGCTTACAACTGCAGTTAAATTACTTGTTCTATTATCATTCTATTAATGTATAGTTCTTATTTTTCTTCTCCTTAAACATTATTTGCTGCATTTACCCTATAGTGTATGCTTTACTATTGAAAGTTGTTTGTTCATATTTGTTTATTCTTTGCTTGGCATTCGCGGGCCGTTTGAACCGACGCGTGGATCGACCTTGACACAGCATTGCTGTTTTTACTTATTGACTGCACAGTGGTTGTGCATTTGACGGCATTTAGCCACAGACACCTCACATTTTGAGGTTTGTATATTATATATCTATTTTTATGTAATAAAGTACCGTATTGCAGGATATCCTGTATTTTGGACTTTACGCGTCACTCTACGTGTGGTTAAATCTATAGTTTGGATTATCGTTTCGGATTTCTTTCGGGAGAAATTCACAGTACTCAAAATTGGTCTTGTTGATCTATTTGGACGATTATCAATGCCGGTTACTCGTAATATGTCTGGAAAACTGGAAAACGCTGAAGAATATCTTCGAGTCAATTTATCTTCACCGCAAGTTTCTTCTTTACCTTATAAAAAAACTGTTTCTGATAATTTTAAACACACCCCTCATGTCAGCCCAGGTTTTGATAATATTGCTATGGGAGGTAGTGTAGTAGTAGACTCCGATGTTGATTCGGATGTGGCTACCGAATTAGAGATCCTAGAGCTTAAGGTTCAAGAGCTTAGACTTCGCAGCAAACAACGAAAATTGAAGAGCGAGCGCTCTCAACAAGTCAAGACTGCAGCCAGCTGCGTTCGATCTTGCGCCAATCCCTCGGAAAGCCAACTCCTAGACGGTAGCACCATGTATTGTACAGCACAACCATCAGGGTCAAATTGTACTGCCACTCCAGTCCAACCACTCCTGAACTCAGTTAGCCCCATTAGAATGCCTCAAATTGAGATGGATAAGTTCGATGGTACACCGACTAAGTTCTTGAAGTTTATAAGATGCTTTAACATGTTCATAGGAGAACAAACTAATGATGACAACCTACGGTTAATGCATCTTATACACAATTGTGTTGGTATAGCCAAGGAGGCCATAGAGCATTGCATTCTACTGCCCTCTGAGGTAGGCTATAGGAAAGCCATGGGGATTTTACGAAGTCAATTTGGCCAACCTCATGCAGTTTCAGATGCCTTCCTCTCCGAATTACTGTCAGGCCCACAGCTGCAACCTGAAGATATAGTTGGGCTACAACGGTTGTTGAGACAGATGACCAATTGTGAGATAGCCTTATCTCAGATGAATCACATGGCAGACTTGGACTGCTCTACCAACCTTAAGTGCATTGTTCAACGTCTCCCTCGGCACCTACGATGGAAGTGGGCAGAATTGGTAAACGATGGTTTACAGTTTGCTGAACCTAGCTTTCGTTACCTCAAAGAATTCCTCGAAAGGCAACTGTCCTTGGCTACAAGCTGTTACGGCCAGATAGCTAATGGGAATAGGAACAACAACGAAGTAGGGTCCAACGATAAAATGTCCAGAGCTATGCCTTCGCACAGTGTTAATGTCGTGAAGTCACGAGCCCAGAAGTCGTGCATAGTTTGCTTCACAGATCACGACTTATGGGAATGTCAACGCTTTTTGTCGATGAGTCACAAAGAGAGACTAGCAGTGTCAATGCGGCATAAGGTGTGCTTCAACTGTTTGAAATGTAATCACCGAGCTGACACTTGTCGTGCAGCAAGAGGTTGCGATATAGTAGGATGCACTAGACGTCATCATAAACTTCTACACAATGAAGATAATTCAGCATGCAAGACTGTCAACTACTCTAGCACGGAATCCGGAACTTCCTTTTTAGGATATGTGCCGATTCGTATCTTAGGTCCTAAAGGATTTCTAGATACCTATGCCTTTCTTGACAATGGTTCAGATGCTACACTACTGCTGAGTCATGTTGCCGCCAAATAGGACTGGAAGGGGTTAATACATTGATGCAGGTAACATCTTTCTGTGGAACTACTTCTCAGAATTCATCTAAGGTTGATTTCGAAGTTGAATCCTTAACGGGAGATTACAAGACGAGGGTCAAGAGTGCCTACACCGTGGAAAGCTTACCTGTAAAGAGACCTAAGACTCCTTCAAACGAACAGATGAAAAAATGGCCTCACCTGGCAGAAATTCCCTTTCTAGACGTCGAATGTAAACAGGTCAGTCTACTAATTGGGACTAATGTACCTGAAGCACACTGGGTGCTGGAGCAGCGTATAGGGAAATCCAACCAACCGTTTGCATCTTTGTCAGTTTTTGGTTGGTATTTATTGGGTTCAGGAGACGAATATAAAGAAGCAACCTCTATCTTCTGCTTAGAGGAAAGTGAATCAGTAGAGAACAAGCCTTTGCGAATGATTGAAGCTGAATTTCAGGACAAGCACTCATGCGAAAGGTCCAGTTCTGAAATAGATAAAGGGGTTCTGAAGGCAACCGATAGGGAGATAAGATTGCGGAACGGACATTATGAAGTTCCATTGACTTGGAAAGAGGACTGGCGTAGATTACCGCCTAATAAGTTTGAGGCAGAACGCAGGCTGGACAGTCTTCAGAAGAGACTAAAAAAGGACGAAAGCCTATTGAAGTCCTACAATCAAATACTAACAGACCATGAGTTGAAGGGTTATATTAGTCGCGTTCCTGACGACTTCTCCAAGAAACGTAGAGTTATCCCTCACCACCCAGTTATGAATCCCCGCAAGCCTGGTAAAATTAGAGTGGTTTTCGATTGTGCCTTTAAATGTAAGGGAATATCCTTGAACGATTGTCCGTATTCGGGACCTGATCTGATGAATGACTTGGCTGGGGTACTATTGAGATTTAAAAAACATCGGATAGCCTTGTCAGCAGATATTGAGGAGATGTTTCTTCAGGTTCACTTACCTGTCAAGGATAAAAGTGCCTTTAGTTTCTTATGGTATTCTGAGGGTAGACTGGACTTACCACCGAGCCTGTATGAATTAAACGTACATCCCTTCGGTGCTACCTCATCACCTTTTTGTGCAGCCTATGCTTTAAAACGAGGCACAAGACGATGGAAACAAGGGCAACTCCTCGCTGATACGTTTTGGAGACGGTGGAAGCGGGAGTACTTGACGACCTTACAATCGCGTTCGACGACATCGAAACTTACAAGTGGGAGACCTAGTACTAGTGGCTGCGGAGCCTTCACCTCGCAATCGTTGGTCAATGGGAATAATTACAGGTGTTACGGCAAGCTGTGATGGGTATATCAGAAAAGTGGATATCAAGACACCGAGGGGTATAGTCAACCGAGATGTGCGTAAGGTTTGCCTATTAGAAGGTATTGAGGAGAGATAAGCACTTTGTAGGATATATAGCTGGATAGTGGATGCAGATGTGGCGAGAGTAAATTGTACCATTTCTGTGTCTTACTAGCAGGTAGAGTAGGGAAAACCAGGCTGGTTTTGAGGGGGCGGTGTTAATTCCTTTCCTACCTGTTCATTCTCAATCTTTCCTTTGTTCAACATTATACTACTTGCCATTAGTAAGTAGTATGATTTTATATGTTAATTTATAACAATGACATTTGCTTACAACTGCAGTTAAATTACTTGTTCTATTATCATTCTATTAATGTATAGTTCTTATTTTTCTTCTCCTTAAACATTATTTGCTGCATTTACCCTATAGTGTATGCTTTACTATTGAAAGTTGTTTGTTCATATTTGTTTATTCTTTGCTTGGCATTCGCGGGCCGTTTGAACCGACGCGTGGATCGACCTTGACACAGCATTGCTGTTTTTACTTATTGACTGCACAGTGGTTGTGCATTTGACGGCATTTAGCCACAGACACCTCACATTTTGAGGTTTGTATATTATATATCTATTTTTATGTAATAAAGTACCGTATTGCAGGATATCCTGTATTTTGGACTTTACGCGTCACTCTACGTGTGGTTAAATCTATAGTTTGGATTATCGTTTCGGATTTCTTTCAGGGGAAATTCACAGACTGTCTGTCTGTTTTCGACATAGAACTTTGCACAAATGTGCGGAAGTTCAAGTCGCCACATTCCGTGTAGCACGCGAAGCAAGAGAAGAAAGTACAAGAAAAGCATAATAGAAACAGTGAGCAGAGGTGTGAGACAAAGGAGTAATAAAGAAATACAAAACAGTTTCATTGAAGATTATAATTCACAGGGAGTGGATGCATCTGCGCCACTGAGAACGGTGTTGAACCATGTCACCAATTGTTTCCAACCATAGATTTTTACCGTCCCGAGGACTCCAGCCTGGAAGTCTACACCTTCCTACGTGGCTTAGACCAACTGTTGTGGATTTCATTGACTGATGCCAAGTTTTTGTTTGACCGCCGCTAGCTTTTTTCCAGCCTGACCCTATATCCGCTAACATTGCTCGTCGAGGGAGGCGATGGCTTGGCATACGTAACACATGTCCTAACCATCTCAGTCTTTGTAACTTCACGACTTCGTCGATTGATTTCCCCTGTTTACCTAGAACTCTACGCCTAACCTCCATATTGCTCACCTTATTATGCCACTTTACACGGGAAATAGAACGCAGGCACCTATGATCAAAGACAGCTAGTCTTTTCATGTCTTCCACTCTCAGTGGCCAGGTCTCACAACCATAAAGGAGGACGGAGCGGACTGATGAGCAGTACACCCGCCCTTTGGTCGATAGTCGAATATCTCGTCTACGCCAGAGTCGGCGTAAACTGGCAAATGCGGAACGAACCCCTTGTATTCGTGCTGAGATTACGTCAGACATCATCCCGTTGGGGCTGATGGTACTTCCCAAATAAATGAAGCGGTTAACGTGCTCTACCACTTCACTTCCTATTTTTAAACTAGGCGTCGATGTAGTCCAGTCCTGTAACATCATCTTGCATTTGGCGGGAGCGAATCGCATGCCAAACATTCGTAGATTGCTGTTCAAGGTGTTTGGAAGACTCTGTATTTCGTCAGCGTCTTCGCCTAGAAGGATTATATCGTCTGCATATTCCAAGTCAACGAGATTATTCCCCGGTAGCAAGTCAATCCCTGAGTCACTGAAGTCACCTAGGGTTAAGTCCATTAACACATCTTAGAATGACTAAATAATGTGTCTGTTATGACTTTAATACGAAACTCAGGACTACTCTTGTAGAAGCTAATTTCGATTATCCTGGAGAATAGTCAGAGAAAGACAGTACGTCACACAGCATAAGGGAAGATGTTAATTATTTATCACTCATTAAGAAATACAAACTCAGTACAATCCGGATATCAGGGGATGTATCACAACAAGAATGGGAATATTAATTTAGGGTGAACGCAAAATACCTAGTCGCAGGTTACAACTACTAAGAATATCTATTTTATAAACTTCGCCGTTTAAATCACGTACGAAGACTACTGTTACGTGAAATTACTAGTAAATCGAGTAGGAAATCAGAACTTCATATAACTTCGATCGAGATAAAGACTAATTGATCTTATTCACACTGAGAACTATTACCGTTGATGAACTAACACTAAAAAAATGAGATGATCGATGTTTTCTAAAGACCTGTGCTTGGGTCAGTAATTTTTAGAGGCTTTGTTGATGCAGCACGTATGTTGTCAGAACATATGTAATTACACAGAGTCTTCAATTTCCAAAGTCTAACACTTGCAATTATATAAACAGTTACAAAAACAATGGTGTGATTTGAACAAAGTGAAAAAATGCAGAAGACTGATTGTTAAGGTGTAAGAGACACTGACTGTAAACCCTGCGTGCATGTAGATTACAATCCAATTCAACGGCCTCTCATTTCACCTTCTGATCCAATCGTACTTGGATGTAACTATGATTTTATCTATACAAGCAACCGTATGAAAATTCTTACAGATTTATAACTATGGGGCTTAATCGATTTTGCATCATGATGCATGCACTACACCACACTTAAACAGTACATAGAGGTTGAAAAACTTACTTCACGAACTCGGCCATAAGTTCTCTCAGCTCTGAAATATTCATCGGACCAACAAATTTGTGGTACAATTCATCGCTTACTTCCCTTAGGCTGACCAAAGAAAGAGAACTAGATATGTTGACAACTCTAGAGAGTGAGAATAAATCTTATCTATACACAATAGCTAGCATTTTCAGCCAATAAAGGAATAATCTCTTCAATAAAGTCAACAATGCATGTGAAGTTAGTATTTATTGTAACCCGCGCCTGTTCACCGAATGGAACCGGTGAGTTTTCCTAAAATTGTAGATAAATCTTTCTCTGAAACTACCTTTAACGCGATACCCGCATTATTCACCGCAATGTTTATACCACCAGGATCCCAAGCTTACAAAAATTCTAAACTTATTCTAACCTATGCGTTGATAATGCCTTTTTTGGTAAATGAATATTTTTTCTACCCACTATGTTCTGAAATAACGCTGGTCGTGCTTAAAATGAGAGTTGGGTGCTTAATTAATGCGACAAATTCTTAAAAATAAGATCAGCATCTGAAATAATGCCTTAAGTGCTGAAAATTAGCACTGCATGCCTAACTGCTGCGGTTAATACTGAAAAATAGCACGTTCTCTCTCTCGACATCATCTGTTGAAACCAACCAACCAATCAGCAAACAGTAGGTTTCACACAGAGTGCGTAGTGTGACGGCTTCACACTTGTCTGTGAATTTCATGCGATGTGATTGGTCTATTTCACTGGAGGTGTGACAGTAAATATGAATACAACGAAAACATAATTCAACAGGGGGTAGGGGAATGTGAATTGATAACATATGAAGATTGTAATGAATAATATATTTCGTTTGTGAAGCGTCCCTGAATTTGATTACAATTCAGTTGAGACGAGGTCACAAGTGAAAAAAATTATATGCAAGGTAGGCTGTGTCTAATGTGTATCCTAGTAGCTATGAGGCAAAATATGAAACACAAAAACTCAAAACGAATTAAAGGGGGAGGGGATGAAAACCGAAAACCCTTAGATGAAAAAGGATACTTGTCATAAGTGAAGTGTAAATTTTTTCCATTACTGAGCACAGTTTACGAGGTTATGTACTTAAACCTTGGGAAACCAAACGAAACAAGGTGGGGGTGATTGTGTTGATGCATAGACGAAAACGTTACTGCTCATCCAGAAAAGAGGTGGCAAGAGATAATACAGTAACTTTGCCTTCAAGTTCAACTGTCCAGGGAACAGTGGGTTTACCTAGTACTAGTGAGACCGTCGCTGTTGTTTCACAAATTGAAGAGAATCGTAACATTTATTAATATGTAATAATTAATTTCTATAGAACTTCAGGTTGTTCCTAAAAAGATGACACAAGGAGAGCTGGTCAGAAAGTCAATTATGGAATTGTTCCTTCATAACAATGTAACAGGGGCGCTTGCGCAAAATGTTCGCTGGAAGATGACACTGTAGTCGCTATCCCAAACACTTGGGTTATGCGAAGTGGTTAATGTGCGTACAGCAGCACAGCAAACCATCTAGAGCCTATGTTTACCGGGGATGGATGGTCAGTATTTCAGTTCCGTCAACTGCAGGAATTTGGTGAGTTGGCATATTTCATTATCACCCTTCTAGATACGTATGAGAACTGTAAAAAGGGTGTAGAGCTTTTGAGAAGCAATGATCAATGCACCAGGAATGTAGACATGGACGATGATACGTTGCCAATGCCTAGTAAGAGACCTAAAAGGTAGGTACCGTTGTCTGTGTAACACATTTTTCAGGGATGCCAAGAAAAATGATAAAAATTTCCTTTACAACTCAATGGATATTGATGTGGCCGCCAGTGAGGTTGGTTGCATCAAACCACAATATCCAGATTATAACATATTTGATGAATTCGTGGCCCCAATTCCAAGGTATTAACCTAATTGAAAGCCCTTCATTTTCAGTACTTCGGGTGCCCCCATATTCCAGTCTTCATCTCCTATTGGCAAAAAGACGTGTGTGTGTGACCGGTAGGAAAAAATTGTTACAATTTTTATTCATGCTTTAGATTGCCGTCTAACGAATATGCTACTGAATCCTCAATTAAGAAATTAAATAAATAATTATTTTCAAGTAATTACCGAGTAAAGATACAAATATGGAAATCATTAACCTGTGCACGAAAATATTGAACATTATGACTACTGACAGAAAATCTCGACAGCAAACCTACCCTCCAGCAAACGGTGACTTAACACTGGAGTTTCCGATCGAGAATGAAGACCAGTTAGCGATGCTGGAAGCATCTTTAAGAGACGAAAAGTACAAACAGCAATATGTGAGTTGACATATTTAATTCTTATTTCTTTCAGACTGCCAAGATGGCTAGCTGCCTTCAGAGTGATCCAAAGTTATCACTTAAGGTCATGATGCAGCATGTTATAAAACCTGAAGTGGGTTTGAAGTTTACATTCCAGAGGACTTTGACAAAGTCAAGCATTGTGCCTTATGCCTTTTATAAAATAATGAGATGTAAGTTTCATTAATGAAGTAATTAGTTCTCTGGCTTTAATTATGTGGCACTTCTCCGGCCAACTAATGACGACGAGAGAGATTGGTTACATGATGGATGGGGCCACGAAATCGTACTTTCATAATTTGAAAGATCGTGTCCAAAGGCGTAAGCGGAAGCAAGGAATTCAGGTAATATTGCGAAACGCCTGCTTACTTTTATAAGTGAACGTTTACTCCACATGTAGTAACCACAACATTGTTTTAATTTTTAGGCAAATGACAAAGATATTGGGGGATATAACAGCGGCACTTATGTAAGTAAACTTTTATAAATGTAAATGCTTAGAATGTGCTCAGCACAATTTTTCACCCACTAATATTTTATTTTGCTTATTTGCAGGATGCTACCAGTGGATCGCACTTGACGGGATTGCAGTGATATTGTACTACAGTTTATAAATACAAAAGTCTCTCAATTGTAAAAACTGATTTCTTTCTGAATTGCGCGGGCGTAGGACACAGGTGATGATAATAAGTGGAAGTCTTTTCGTTCTAAGGTAAAGCGAGTAAGTGCTGAATACGATCAGCGAAGGCTAGAATTAGGCTGAAAAAATTGCCACTATGTGCTGAATTTAGTCTTTTCGTTCTGAATTAGTGCTAGTCAGTGCTGAAAATGTTCTGAAAGGGCTGAAATAAAGCTGATAAGCAAACCCGGTAGGTTCTGATCTACTCCCAGCAATGCTTAAAAGAAGAACACGGTTCTGAATTAGCGCTAGTTATGCTGAAAACTAGCACTGAGTTCTAGTCTGTGCCACTAAACAAACGATTTCAGAACAAATTCAGAATTTACTCACTATAGGATGCTAGAATTATTTCAGAATTACTGAGATTTAATTCAGAATTATAACAAGCTTGAGTTCGTACGGAAGAATTATATAATTCTTCCGTACGAACTCAAGGAAACTTTTACGACTTTCCGGTTCTGTTATATCTAACTGGTGAAATTTGACATCTAGGCCCTTGCCACTAAGCTTTTTCACAGCCTCCAGACCAAGTTCGACGTTTCGTGCTATCTAATTTGGCAATGAAATAGTCACATACCTGTCAAATAAACGTCCCACTCTCCTGAATCTTTGTAAAATTTGGCGAGTTGTTCAACAATGCTGTATCCAATACCCTTGTTAGATCCTGCAGGTAACATGCTACCTGTTATAGAAATACGTTGCATTAAGGAAGTTAAAGTGGCAAAATTCAACAATAGCGTCCCAAGGGATGCGAACGCACGAGTGACCTTCAGGCAGCCAATCATAAAAATGAGGAATTTTTGCACGAAAAATGACGTATATTCACAAGAAAATGCATGAAAACACATTAAACGGATTATATTTCTCTGATATGACTTAAAAATACGTTCCAGTTGCGATGAAGAGTATCAGTTGCTAATTTGGACTAGTTTCTGTAAATGTATTCACCAAGGTGACTGAAGGTGTGCTGTTTTGGGTATGGTTCATCTCTCTTCTCTTGCTGTGTAGTCCTCTCCTAAGCCCTCGGTTTAGTCACTATGGTTCCAGTAAGAGCATTGGCGACTACATACAAGGGAAATAAGGATAATAAAAGAACTTGAAATAAACGAAAAATCTATTCCTAATCGCTACCCTAACCCTAACCATTGTGCCACCGACGCACACAATGGCCGTAATCCTAACCACAATACTCGCCTTAAACCCTATCCTAACCCTAACGAGATGTTAACACATTGTCCAAGCAGTAATAAAAGTGTTATCTGGGTGAAACTTGCTCCTTATTTGATGAATAGGGTTGATATTTCAGCTATGATAATAACAGGAACCGTTAGCCAACGGCTAGCATGCGTTCAAGGTTATTTGAGCGTTGAAGGTTTTGGGACGCTATTCTTAAACTTCGCCGTTAAAGTGACCATACAAAAGCCAATTTCATTGCAGCGATAGGAAAACCCTTTCAATTTTACGTCCATACCGTACACGGTAAGTGCACGTCTGAAATCTAATTTTTGAAAAGGCAGAATTTATATTCATAAGTTGACCTTGCAGAAACTAAATACCCAACATCCAATGTCTTATTGAGCAGCTTATAAAAGCGTCTCTATTTCTTGGTGTTCTTTTCCTTGTTATGAGAGGATTAGAGAAGTATCGTGGGTTTTAGTATGGCGAAACTGTTACTGAGCGCTACATGTCCAGTGAATAAAATAAGGACAGGCAAGTAGTTTATCCTGAATGGAAAGAGTGTTTAGATTTCAGATTTATTGTCCGAGGATAGAAGGCCTGGAGCCTGTGTTAATCCTTTTCTAGCAAATTTCTGTGGTTGTCCAAACCTTTCTTGAACGAATCAGTTGAGGTTGCAGACACCACTTCTTTTGGGAGTCGGTTCCAAGCGTTTGTAACTCGGAGTGAGAAACAGTACTCAGCAGCAATATGATTTCTTCTTGGCTTTTGGACTCTCCTGCTATGCCCTGGTGGGAAGGAAAAGAGAGAATAGGTCAGGTCCGTAGTTATTATTTAAAATTTTAAACATTGTGATTAAA